CCTGGTTGTAACTCTGCTCAGCGCCCCTTTCAATTAGCACCGTCTTAAAAAACTATAATGAACTATTACAGTAAAATTAACTACTCTACCCATAAAACACCACCCCCCCCCCTGCAATGCAGCATTCGCTCCCACCCTCTCTCTCATTTGATTGAAGTTGCACCGGGGTGGAGGTGTCAGCCTCGCTGCGAAGCAGGAGGAATGGAGAGCGGAAAAAGCTCAAAACTTAATTCTACCGGCGGCTATTTAATATTATTTATTGTTTTTTTAATCGTCCTACAGACTCTGACATGTTAGATAATTTTGAAAATGAGGTTTTGAAAAAAATCCGTAAGACTTGAAAAAATCTGTGAAAATGCCCTTTACGTCCTGCAAAATGACGTAAAATCCTTATAATTTACGGACAATCCGCAATCTGTACAAGTTGACATGCATGTTATTATAAGTTTACCATAGTACCTTTCACTGTCAAACTTATTTTAGGGGTTTAAATTGGGGTGGGTGGGACATAGTTGGGGTGGGGGGGTTGCCCTTCAACTTGCCTAGGGCACCGAAATGGCTAGGGCCAGCACTGCAAACCCAACACATATTCCGAGCGTCACTTCTCGCAATATGGCACGAGACTGCACACAACTTTTTTGTTTTTCTTAACATAACTTTAGTCTAAATCTCTGACATGAAAGATTGCGGGCGATRGGCTTTCCTTCAAGTAATGCCTTTAATTAACTTGTCTGTTTTGAACAGCAGCCAAACTGATGAGGATGTGATTGTCCCACCTGGTGTCTCAACACCCCCCCACTACCACCACTCAAGCTCCTCCACACACGCACAAACACACAGAGAGACGCGCGCACGCACAGCCGGGATGAGCTGAACTCATGCAACGCCAGGCAACATCCGAGAGTTAAAAGAAAGAGCAGCAGGGGGAGAGAGAGGGTTTGTTTTTTTTTTTTAAAGAGCGGCAGGAGGAGTGGGACTTGCTTTAAGGACACCCTGAAGTCCACCAGCTCCTGGTTTTTAACACATCTGAACGCACGAGACTGGAAGAAGCGAAGAGAAGCGGAGGAGCCTCAGATCATCTCCCATCCTCACACCCTTTTTCACTTATTTTCAGGTAAGTTGAAGCTTTATTAATAAAAACAGACTTAATTGTAGAAAGTTCACATGATTTCCATCACCCCCACCTCCTCCATCCAGCAGGAGACACTTTAGGACCCCCACCGGACCCATGATGAGGGCTGTGGATGTGCTTCTTCTCGCCGCCTCCGTGTGGCTCCGGAGCGCGCTCGGCGGCTACGGGGTGAGTCTGTTCGCGGCGCAGACCTCCCCTCCGGACCCCTGCTACGATGAGCCCGGCACCCCGCGCCGCTGCATCCCGGACTTCGTGAACGCCGCCTTCGGGAAGGAGGTGAGGGCGTCCAGCACGTGCGGCCACAAAACCCCGAGCCGCTTCTGCGTCCTGAGCTCCGCGGACAAGGGCGCCGAGCGCACCAGGACCTGTCACACCTGCGACGCGTCCGACCCCAGGAAGTACCACCCGCCCGCCTACCTGACGGACCTGAACAACCCGCACAATCTGACCTGCTGGCAGTCCGAGAACTTCGTCCAGTTCCCGCAGAACGTCACGCTGACCCTGTCCCTGGGCAAGAAGTTCGAGGTGACCTACGTGAGCCTGCAGTTCTGCTCCCCGAGACCCGAGTCCATGGTCATCTACAAGTCCATGGACTACGGGAAGACCTGGGTGCCCTTCCAGTTCTACTCGACCCAGTGCAGGAAGATGTACAACAAACCGAACCGGGCCGTGATCACGAAGCAGAACGAGCAGGAGGCCGTGTGCACGGACTCCCACACCGACATGCACCCGCTGAGCGGCGGYCTCATCGCCTTCAGCACGCTGGACGGCCGACCGTCCGCGCACGACTTCGACAACTCGCCGGTGCTGCAGGACTGGGTCACCGCCACCGACATCAAGGTGGTCTTCGGCCGCCTGCACACGTTCGGCGACGAGAACGAGGACGACTCGGAGCCGGCGCGGGACTCCTACTTCTACTCCGTGTCGGACCTGCAGGTCGGCGGGAGGTGCAAGTGCAACGGGCACGCGAGCCGCTGCGTGAAGGACCGCGAGGGCAGCCTGGTGTGCGACTGTAAACACAACACGGCGGGGCCCGAGTGCGACAGGTGCAAGCCCTTCCACTACGACCGGCCGTGGCAGAGAGCCACGGCYCGCGAGGCCAACGAGTGCGTGGGTAAGTCCGGGTCCGCTCCGGTCCGGTTCGGTTCGGCGTTCACTGATATGGTGCAGGTTTATTTTCTCATGGTAGGCCTGTTGGTAAATTCAGACAAGACTATCAAAATTCATTTTTTAAAAGATAATAAT